CAACCGTGGCAACAAGAAGGGAAAAAAGTCCCTGGCGTTGACTGAAAAGAACACCTTGCTGCGTGACCTATATGTCAGACGTATGTGCGCGGCCACACAACATATCGATCCACGCAACCGCAGAACAGTTGTCTACACAGACGAATGCTTTGTTCATCATCACTACAACAAAAATGACATTTCCCTGCATGACCCTACCGACGAGTTGGATATTCAGCCAAAGGCCAAGCAAAAAGGCAAGCGCTACTGCTTCATTGGAGCAATCGTTGATGGCGGCGAGGAAAATTCAATCTTCATTGCCTATGACAAGTTCGTTGGTGCCGGGCGCAAACAAACCAAGGACTACCACGGCATGTTTAATCACGAGTATTACCTCACGTGGTTCCAGCGATTGCTAGATGAACTGGCAGCACGCAATCTACAAAACACAATTATTGTGATGGACAACGCAGCTTACCACAAATGCCGTCCCGGTGACACGCCGGCATTCCGATCGCGGAAGGTCGAATTACAGATAGCTTGTGATCGATTCGGCCTGGATTGGACACCATCGGAAATGAAGTCGGTGCTATGGGCCAAAATCAAACCGTTTGTGGACGGGATCAAACCGGTGACAGTTGTCATGGCTGAAGCTGCCGGACACGAAGTGTACTTCAGCCCTCGACATCATTCCAACTTGCAGCCTATCGAGGTTGTGTGGGCTATCATAAAAGGAAACGTCGGAAGACAGTACCAAGACGATACAACATTTCAGGAAGTTGGCCAGCGGTTGGATGCAGCGTGCGTCAACTTGACGTCGCACTCTATCTTTGGTTGCATTCGAAAGGCCGAGTACGACCTGTTAGATCTACATAGACATGTGTCAATCATTGACGACGACAACTACCAAGGGGACAATGAAGTGGCAGGCGACGGATCGGAGGGTACCGAGTCCAGTTCGGCTTCTCAAGACTCAGCGAACGACGCTGGATTTTAGGACTTTGGAATTGTATAATTGCATAAGTTTATAATTTGGTGCCAAAATTTGCTATTGTTTTACGCAGTTTGTTGCCTCAGACACGTACTCTCACACTTCATGAAACCGGATAAGTATCCGTTAAGTTCCCTCAGTGCTGTCGTGGACTGTAAAGCTGCTAAATCCACTGGCAGAAATGTTGAAAAGCACAATACTACTTTTGGCGAAGAATTCCTTGTTGGAAATAACGATCATATGAACACATGATTTGCGTTGATTTGGACTATGGTGTCGAAGGTCAATGGCATCATAAAAGACAAAGTACGCATGAAAAGCGATCACTAGCGCACGTGAATCGTCCGTCTTGTGTCGACTATCACCGTGGACGATATGATTCATTTTCCGAAAACTGAGCTTCATGCAGTCTACCGCAACTAGTAACTACAGATGTACTGGCGCTGCAGAAAGACCTATGAGCCATTTTAGAGGTCGGCTCATGGTCTCATGATCGGTAAGGCCGTTAGTCTCCATTATGTGCAGCAGGCCGCCATTCGTCGTGCGGTTGTCATTGTCGTGCGGTTGAAAGATGTGCATTGTTGGCGCATTTGCATTGGACGAAATGATTAGACTTAAATGACCAGAAAAAGTACTACGTAATTCGTAGTAAGAGACCTCTGTTTGCAATTTTATTCGGCCTCCGCAAGAGGTTCCCGTCCGGATAACGACGGGAGTGAAAACAAAGAATTCTTTAGCCTCATCGCCCGAAGCAATGAGTGACTCTGACCACCAACGCTCGTTGTCCCCTGTTAACGGGACGGAGCGATACCGATCCCAGCCGAACGCGGCCGTCCCGTGCGCCGTCAAGCCACTACCCTGTTCGCCTCTCCACGCCGGCGTAATCCACCAGCTGTTGACCAGCGGTTTTAACCATATGGCTACGCTACCACCCCATTTACGGCGCCCACACCGACCCCCGAGGCCGCGCCATTTGA